CGGAATAATAGAACACAATATATCACTCTTAAAAACAACTAAAAGCAAAAGTACTATAGTACTTGAGAGACTCTCTATACAGCTCCCTATGGATTTTTGGTATAGCATTTGAACAGGCAGAAATAGCAAGAGCTGAAATGCGAAAACACTTGCTCGTTTGTATGCTAAAAATGTTTAGATTGGATTAATCATAGTTATCATTAAATTGTAGTAATATTACAATATATTTATTGATGTCAATGTTTTTTTGGAGTCACATTATTTACGCAATCTAGATACGTATGTTAATATTTTGTTTTTCTTATGTCACAGATGAGGCAATTAATCCCAGCATACATTTGGGTGAAATCAACAGCTCTTAATGGAAAGAAGAAATGTCCTTAAATGAACGACTACCAAGTCCTTTGTGCATACCTAAGGTAGTGCGCGACTTGTTATGGACCGTTTCAAGTCCACACATACTAAGTTGTGATCGCTTTCCCGTTCTACCTGCGGAATTTGGAGTTGAAGCTCTGAAATTGGATGTGGTCATTGACTGGCTGAACGCCCTAGTTAGTGATCCTGCCCCAATTTTGGCTTTTCTGCAAGGTAAACTCTTTAATTTATATAGGCGGTGACATCACTAACAAGATTTCTTGTCTCTAGACTCAATCTCGACCAGTCAATCGTTAGCTCTGGGCGTCTACTTTTCAAAGCTGCTCGAGTTCTGGCTCCGTTTCTGTCCCCATATCACAATTGAAAAGTTAGAAATCGGCAAACAAATTGTGTCTTCCACAAATAGAACGGTGGGTCAATTAAAATTTCTCTTTCGGTGCACTTTTCCTTATGGAACGGACATCTCTAGAGAACCTCATGATTTTCACGTCGAGTCCTCAATCAAATTTTTTTTACTCAATACAACAAACAACATTATCAAAGATAAACTTTGTGATCTTGGGAAAAAATCAAACGACCACAACAATTTCGTTTCTCTCGAGCACTATGTTGGTCCGCATTTAGGAGAAAATTTGGCTTGGCGAGTCCAAGAGGTGGATCGAAAGCTAGCGATGCGTCGAGGTGACAGTGTGCATGCTTGGCTGAAAGAAAATTACAGTGACAGTGTGGAATCGCATATTGTTTTACGAGGATATCTGTTTGAGCCACTTAGCACCTTGATCTCGACAGCGGCAACGTCTATGGACCACGATTGGTTTTTACATCGTAATCATACACCAATGACTCCAGAAAAAGAAGAGTTGAAGAGTGTGTTGAATCCATGCATCGCAATAAATCATTTACGAGGATGGTGGACCACCGACATGGAAACAGACTTGCCTGCAAAATTGAGAGCGAACCCGTCAAGGCTCGGCGAGAGTCGATTCGTAATCCTTCCTAAATTACATTGGCTAGCTCCTGTTGTTGCTGTGAAGAGCGAAAATATAGAAAAGATTGTTGTGCATGGTGATGAAACATTAAACTTAGCAGATGTTAATGCACTTCAACTGGACCAATTAATCACCTTTGTCAGAAATCATTTTCGAAAAGATGAGTTTGGTAAGTCAAGTCCAGTAGCGATGCCGTTGCTGGTGGCTGAAATAGTGCAATTCCCGGAATATGTTGGTGATGATAAAACTGTGTACTGGCACGAGCTATCCCGAGGCTTTATTCTTGACTCTACGCGCTGGGATCCATCACCTTTGAGCCAGGAGCCTGTTCGCTATAGACGAACGCGTCAACAAAATGCCGCTACTGGGATTGGAGATCGCGAGTATGAAATTCGCCAAAATGACTGTGTTGAAGAAGGCTTTATCAAGCCGGACGTTGATGATACCTTAGTAGAGGACAAAAGACATCAATTTACTGATCCTACAACTATGGGCCCACGCGAACTTTGTCACGAGCTAGTGTCAGTCTTAAGCGCAAAAAATGCTTGCTTTTCTCACGCTGAGCTTAAAAGATCGACTGCGGAATATTTTCTGTGGCGACAAACAAGTTGCAATGATGGGGCCTCTGACTATTGTGAGGATAGAACGGCGTATCTTCGAGCTTGTTTTAAATCTCTCATTTTTGAAGCCAATGATGGTGATGAATCGAGGCAAGCCCGGCGGGTTGGCTATTTGCTTGTTGATGTCTTTAATGAAGTAAGTTGTGAGTCTAGCTCAAATAAACCATACACATTTTTATTACAAGAATGCAATGAATGGACGACAATGCTTGCGAAAGTAGCGAATGATTCCGATCGATGGGAGTTTCTCAATCTCATCTTACGTGCAATCGACTTGACTTTGGAATCAGACGTTGTCGTACGATGGATAGCATCCAAAAAGAGCGACATACTTACTCTTCTTGACAAGCTACTTGCTGCTCAAAATATTCGGTGGAATGCCATTGTGGTTGAAATGGTTCGTGTCTTTCATATCGGTGAGCTACTGCCAGGTCATCGGACGCTACATATCACTGAAGATGCTAAGACGATTAGATTAATTTTTGACAAGTTTGTGGGGCAGCACGACTGGCAAAATGCAGAACGACTTGTCACTGTGGTGCCGGATCACGATATGGTACAAAGACTTTTCAAGCATATGTCACTTTTAAACATGACGAAAGCTCTAAAGCGATTACAGCAAATTGCTGCTACTTTTTCGAATTCACAAAACGCTGACTTCACATCGATAGAACAAAACTGTGACCTTTCATCAGCTGATAAGTTTCTTTTGATGCATCCAATCGACCACACCAGGAATCGATCTTATCAGAAGAACCAATCGAACATTGAGTGGAAATACGTCGATTGTGCCGAGGACATACAAGAAGTGGTTCGACGCTTGAAGGAACAAGAGTTAAGTATTCTAATTGCCGAGGAATCGTGCGATCAACAAACAGTTGTTCGAAATATTCTTGTTGCAATTGACTGTGAATGGCGACCACAGTTTTTAACTAAAGCCTGTGATGATCTAAATGATCGATTTTTCGAAGATCAGGAAGGTTTAAGCCTGTATCAGCTCGCGGTCGGAAATATCATCTTTGTTATTGATGTTCAAGTTTTAGGATTGGCTGCAGCAGAGCCATTGAGTTTCATCTGGAGACCTTCATCTCGTCTGATGCTGATCGGATTTTGTGTCTCCAGTGATATATTGAAAATCAAGAACTCTTTTCCACATCTTAGCGCACTTTTCGATAACCCAAACAGCGAGATTAGCTCCCGATCCAACTATTCAGTTCTAGAGCTACGAAATCTTGCTTTATCTCGGCACATTCCCGCAAAACATTGGGGCCTGTCACAATTGCACCATGCGTGCTTGGGGGAACAGCTTGACAAAGAGCAACAATGCTCTGACTGGGGTTCCCGCCCTTTGTCGACCAGTCAGATTGAATATGCAGCGAAAGACGCTTTTGCCGTTCAACGCCTGTCATGGCATCTTCTTGCTGACATAGAATTTGAAAAAACGACTTGCTCGATAGGTGATGATGTCCGAGAATTTTTAATTAATCACGATGGTAATCGAAACGCTTTAAATTCGTGGACAATGGCTACTGAGTTGCAACCTCTTGGAAAGCAACAAGTTGAGTTGGCATTACAAGCACACGGAATAAATGCTCGAATTTTCAGATTTGATAAGGAGGTTCATGAAGGGCTGGTCGTGAAAAGTATCGCAATGATTGTACGGAAGGAGAAATTGGCACACACATCGAAGAAATTCATGTACGTTGTGGTCGTTTTACCGCTAAATCGATCCATCGATATACAGGCTTTAGCAACTTTGCTGGAAGCAGACACGAAGGAAATTTCGTTGGCAGATCAAGTGGTGCGTTAAAAATCTAAAAACAACAAAAAACATAATACTGACTTATGTTTTTCATGTGTAGACGCTCGTACGAGTGTTTGGCTACTCTCGTGGATGTTTAGGACCAATTGGTCTGCGAGCGCAGCAGGCCACACAAATCGTTCTTGATAGTTCTCTTCAGAACGAAAAATATCTTCTCTGTGGTGCCGGGGCCACTGACGAGGTCTATGCAATCTGTCCAGCTGTGCTTATTAGAGTAGTGAACGCATTGGTCGCTTGTGTTGTGTCCACATAGAGATATTTCAGCCATTTTCCCGATCCAAATATTTGAATATGCTGCAAAAAGCAAGGATATTTCTTTTTGGGAAAATAAAACAAAAATCTATCCGATAAACAGAATGATAAAAACAATATAGCAGGAGTTTGAAAAATAAAAAAAATATTCCCAAGTGTACACTACTTTGAGTATTGTTATTTATATATAACAAACACATGTATAAATATTTGTGAAGTCAAAGAATCCATTCGAGAGAAAGTGACAAATTGATACATCGTCATCAAAAATCTCTAACATGAAAGAAATTTGCGAGACAACCATCAAAATTACGCTTCATCACAGTTTTGCTGTAATAACCACATTTTTGCAAACACCGTATCTACGAATCTATTTAAGTGGTTGCCTGTTGTGACGGAATACGACTCTTTTAGGTTTTCCACGCTTCTTCAAGATTTGGAAAGGCTTGCAATCACATGCTGATAATTTGTAAGTGGAAGAATAGTTCCACTTGAATGTTCGCTATATGCTGCTGCAAATGTTGATGTCTTTCATGTAGGGTAATAATATCCTCCACCAAACTTGAATTTTATCAGCATGTTTCATCGATGAGTGCATGAGCACATGAAGCAGCGATGCCTTTTAAAACTCCACACGAACAAGTAACATTGATCTCAGTAAATTTACTGTAAAGCGCACAACGACTTATCTTCCCCATTGCGACCGAGACAACACAACTTGACGATGAATTTGCAATCACTCTGCAATGTAACGGGGTTACACGTAACCTTGTATGAAAGGGTTGGTTACACAAGATGGTGTGACCGTACATAGATGTGGATTACACATACTGGTGTCATCACACAATGATGTGGCTGCAACGTAACAAGGAGCCACTACGTGGCAGGACTGCCAGTAGTAATGCATATTTGTAACGGGGTTACACGTACCCCGGTAACAGGGGGTGTGTGTCACACGAGATGTGCATGGTGTGACTGCACCCAAACAAGAATACGGTGTGTGGCTAGGTAGCCAGTAGTTATGCATGTATTTGGATTTTACTAAATATCATTAGTATATTTAGAAAAATCTAAACTTTTAAATCAGGAGAAAAAATAAACAAAAATCAGTTTTGAAGTTAAACCGATGAGTCAATTAGCCTTAAGAAGGCAAAAATTATTCTTGGAGTAAGCGGATTGCGATCCGCTTACTTATACTTGGTTCTTGTAAAGAACGAAAGGTCGGTGACCTAAAGTACACTTCCTCAAGCGCTTAGCTACGGCAGCCCCGCTGCAATATTGATTAGGTTCTAATATATTATCTAGGTATTACCTTATAAATTTTGAAAACTAAGGCTCAAAATATTGCGCCTCTGCTGCAGCTAAAACAATTCGTACAGTTTTAACTTTGAACAGAAAAGCGTCTTTACCTTGGCTAAGGGGATTAAGTATTTGGAGGTAGCAGATTGCGATCCGCTTGACTTGTACTAGTTTCTTACAGAACGAAAAGTCGGTGACCTTAATCTAGCTTTTTCTAAGCAAAGAGCTACGGCATCCCCGCAGCATGCATCTTCCATCCATGCCAATATTTTGTTTACCTTGAACGATGCATACTGGGTTAATACACCCCCAGTTGAGCACTTTGTATTATGTGGTCTACATGGTTTTCGATTGCCATGAAACAATCAATAATTGGTAGAGCACGGATGCGAAACACTAGATTAAAGCAACAACCGCTTGTATGATATCGTCTTTGTTGGTACATTCTTTTTGATCAAGCAACAAGCACCGTATATCAGGGTCACTTTCCATTACAGCCTACCCAGACGTAGAGGTTTTAGCACCACCATACCAGCAATTGATGACACAAATAGTGAGTGTATGTACATTTAAGCGTTCAGCAAATAGGTCAATCGGGTGATGATGGACTGTCAATCAATTATCCTACCAGTGAAAGGCAATAAGGTTTATCCTATTTGCTCGGTGGTTTAGGGTTAATCGATCCCTGGCTCATGCGGTTTGTAGCGTGGTCTGAGACCCTGGTTCGATACCCATAGGATCCGAAACAAGGAGGTGACTAAAGTGGACGAGCATTCGCACCCTTGTGGTATGACCGCCCTATTAATCCCACCAAATGGGTGTGTGATAGTTGAATGGGAGGCCCCACTGAACGAAAATGCCCATAGTGTAATGAAGGGTACGGTACCCGGTCTCAAAATGGGTCGGATAGCTACAATCATCCCGCGCTAGAGAAAGCTTATGTGGGTTCCGATAAATCTCTCTGTGGTTTAGGGTTCCACAGCCCAGACATTCCATAAATGGCTTATTTAATTGCGAGATATACACATGTACATAACTATACTTGAGGAACCACTTCGGTTGTCAGCCGTAAAAATTGTAACATAACTATGCTTGAAGTAGTAACACTTGGTATATTTCTTTTCAAATATCTGGTATATTATTTTATTTTTCTGTTTTCTGTTTATCTGGTAGACTTCTTTTATTTTCCCTAATTGTATTAAGGCAGCGATGTCACTCAGTCGGGTAGCTTTAGAGAAATCCATTTCAATCGTAGTATACAATGGACTGGTTGAAGAAGAAGAAGGAGGAGGCACAGCAGGCAGCTTCCAAAATGACGAACAAGCGGACTGCATTTCGCGGCGAAGGCAACGTGCTAGGTGGTGGAGATGCCTCTTCCGCTTCACTTCCAAAAGCCGCTGCTTCCCAAAGCCCATCTATCAAGGTATGACGACCCATCACTTTGTAACAAGTCAAAATCACTTCTTATGGTGTTGGAGATAGCTACCATTCATGAGCCAGAAACCACCTATTCTTTCCGTCGACGATCAACAGAAGCGGCGAGAGTTGCAGGTGCGATAATGGGTGGTCATTTTTAAGTATGCGAAATAGACTCACTTGATGCTTTTTCAGGCACAGGCGCTTGAGCAACGTGGTAATGCTTGGGAAAAGCGCGTGGCTGCCGCACGTAAGGCTAGACTGCAGCAGGAAGACGAGCAAGAGAATAAATTCCAGTACGCGGAGCCTTCCGTTCCTGCTCCGTCCGGCCCATCGCCTCAAATGCTTTCCAACGAACAAGTCAAAGCACGAGAATTGCAAACGGTGCAGCAGCAGATGGGCTTCAATCCTTATGCAGCAACGTTTGCTTCCTCAACACAGGCAGTGTCAGCAATGAATGCAATCGGTGGGGATTTACCTCCTATGACGGCGAGTAGTAGTGTCGTACCACCTCCGATCCCATTTCCCGCAATCCCACAGGTGACAGCACCTGAAGACACTTTATCAACCTTGGAGAACGGTGCGGTTTACGTGCTGTTGCGGCAAGACCCACAGCGGGCTATCACGGCGTCGGAAACGCTAATTAAGATACTGAACAACGTTATTCAAACCCCAGAGGTTGTGGAAGCTCATCATTCGATATCGAAAATTTCTAATTTTTCTTTTGCAGGAGGAAAAATTTCGAAGAATTCGGTTGTCAAATGCAGCCATCCAGACAAAGCTTGTGTCTGTGCCAGGAGCTGTTGATATTCTCGAAGAAGCAGGGTTTACAAAGGTCGTACTGGAGGGTGAAAGTTATTTAATGCTGCCTGCAGATGCGTTCCAGGCTCAGCGTATTCAGGCAGCTATTGATCGCACGGAGGTTGCATTAATTCAACTTCAGCATGATTCCTCGTAGAGTAATAAACATATATATAGTGATGGTTGGCTGAACCAAAACAATGGGTTACGGTCGTTGTCATATTTATTTATCGCATGCAAGCTGCGAAGTGTGGTTTATACATTGATAAAAGTCAAGATACAAGTTGGTACAATCAAATTCGTATGAAAGATACCTGTTAAGGTCAAGAAAACAGACGTTCAAGCTTCTTAGACTACTGTTGCTATCATTGTGGTAAGCATTACGATGATTGTAAATGTTGAAAGTGTTGGGATACTGGAACTTTTACTTGTAGGTGTCATTGGTGGCAAGTGGGAATGTGGATTCACTTGGGAGTCCGCTCGTAACTGAATGAATTTCAAATTATCGGCAACCGATCCTGATACAGGAGAGTCAACGTCACCGACTGTCGGATCGTACGTCAATCCTGACGAGGACTGTGAATCAGCATCACCAACCATGGGTCCACATCCTGACCCTGATGCACTCAATGATCCAATATCGCTATTTAGGTCTGACTTTTGTGCACATTTTTGCTCTAGAGGATCGATGATTTCCGCGTAAAGTCGATACATTCGTTGGGGACCGCTCGCTTCAAATCATTGATGGCCTGCATGCACGCTTTGCTGTTACACAATGCTGTGATCTGTGTATCAGTCACTGCCAAGGTAGAGGCAGGATCGTACTCGGAGTCATTGCGACACAACTTAACATTCGTATTCGCCAGGAGCTTCGATAACGCTGACATTTCGCAGGGAACCGCAGCTATGTTAGTGAGTTCAGCCATGGCAATTAAAACTGAAATTGCCACGGTTGCGAACATCTCGAAGTTTCTTGATAAAAACAAAATCAACCACACGCAGGGAGGGAAAAAGTAGAGTGAAGTTGAATAAATCTTCAAATGGATGACTTGAGCAAATCAGATCCAAATGAGCCTCAACAACGTTGGAACAATCACATGGGAAAGTGAGCTGAGAAGTTCTTTGCACGGTTACAGAAGCAGGTCTAAACTGTAAATGCGATCGGTATGTCGTATTTTCAATCATGTTGGCTTCCACGTGATGGATTCAGCGCAATTTTTGAATCGGTGTTGTATCAACCGCCTTGTCGCTAGAGTGCAGTAACAGGTTTCACCGAGAAACGACAAATAGATCAGTTTGTCTAGTAATTTTCATACGTACAATATCTGGACTCATTACTTTTGTAATGTGACCTCGATTCGAAGGTTCGAACTCTTCAAAATTTCGCACTTTACATTTACATGTAGCACTGTGCTGAGGACAAAATGGCTATTTACTCTCGTTGCCTTACCTCGTCAGTCTGCAAATTGGTGTATTACTTCATTGTTAAAGAAGTGTAACTAGTTACTTATTAGGAAATGCTGTCCAGCGGCGTTTGACGCCTACTTGCTACATCTTGCGTTCTCGCTAGCTTCGTCATAGACTCAGCGAAATCCGTACCTCACATTATATTAATGTATTACGTGATTTTGGCTCCGATGTATTACTTCTGGATGGTCTAGCTCTCAGCGAACGACGTTCAGTCTCAATGATATGTGAAATTGTGTCCATCCCTTTCGGATGTTAAATTATGACGACAGCCCCACCCGCAAAACCCGGATCGATTTCATATCGTATTCATAGGATTTTGAGAGCTTGCAAACCATTTAGTACGGGCTGCGGAGGATGCACGGTGTTATTTTGTACAATAACAATGAATGAAGTCAACTTGCTCCAGCACCGCGGTGGTACTTTCGAATATCTATCATCATTATAGTCTAGCAGTCTTTCAATCTGATAATCTTTTTGTGGATGGTTTTAAAAAAATTTGCTAAAACTTGTTTGTCAACAATCTGCCAAACGCGATTCTATTTAAGATACAATAGCTACCGACAAGCCATGTTTACAATACCGGGGAGCAGATTGCACACTTTTGTGAAAATGTAATTATGCAGAACTACCGATGTATCGGTTTGTTGGAATATGATGAAGTTTTTGGTAAAAAAAAAATAAGTAATAAAAAAATACAAACTAAAAAATAAAACTAAAAACCATGAAACTTGATTAAAAAATGAGAATTGATCAAATTGAGGCATAAATTTATTTTAAAAATTTATTCTTAAACATCCGTTGTATAAATGGACTGTTAGCAGCACATCATGCGGTTAAGATCATTATATTATCCAATAAACTTATCAAGTAACAAATCGCCCACGCTTTGAAAAGCATTCTTATACAGGCAAACATTCCATCACAACACGGCTCTTAATACAACAAATCGAAGCTCGAAAACAGTTGGTATGAGCTGGTTTAATAGGTAATCTGAAGCGCAAGGATCACATAGCTGGTTAGTCACCGATAGGATAGGTTAGGTTGAGTAATGTAGCTTGTTGCCATATTTACGGTATTCCAAGCAAGCGTATGTAAACGCCTGATAAGACTCGCTCCGCACCACAACTGTGTTTACTGCAAAGCAACATGAGCGAACTAAGCTATTTGAAGCTTGTGATTTTGTGCGAGGCGCAGAAGGTAAATTTTAAGTGTATGTATCCACTTGAATCTGATTTTGAATTTAGCTAAAAAAAAAAAATCAAATAAAATGTTGTGACAAACATCTGACGAAACTCATGTTTAAATATTAAGCTTGTCCTTTGGATGATTACAATCGGCTTTGAGCCTCAGCAGCGGTATAGATGGCCATGGCACTGGCGTACAACGCATCCAAAGCGTCCGAACAGCGGTCATTTTGCTCGGCACGGAGATATGTAGGCAACATGCGATGCGGCGTGCGATTCTCGCCTGAAATGCGCTTATCCTGGTATATGGAGCGCTGACCGTGCATCACAAGTTGCATTGACTCGTTAACCAAGTTACCCGCCTGTAAAATGAGACTATGATCGTATGCGAAGTAATCTGGGTATTCCTTACTAAAATACCGCAACATATTACGCGCATACGAAGCTTCGAGTATGTCGCTTAAGCTTTCGCGTCGGTCCACAGGTAGCATGTAATGTGCCTTGCGGTTTTCCCCTGACATGCGCGTGGACTCATATATTGTGGTACGGCTGCACGCTAGCCTAAGCAATGATGTATCAATGTCCGAGCTGTGTTGCACATAACTTGTTGTTGTGAGAGACATAACGGTAGCCGAGACTTGAGCTTTAAAACGCAAAACGCGGAATCTACTAAGCTTGAAGAGCTCCCGTTTCGGTCATAGGTTCAACGTTGAAGATTCAATTTAATACATTTTGGTGAAGTTGCGCGCGTCATCTGTCCAGCTTTACGTTACTTCAACATGAATACAGAACAAAGATGCGGCGATTTTACTCAACCTTTTAGATAGAATACATCGGTTAGGACAATTATTTAGAGCCACAGTCAAAGCAACCTACAGAAATTATTAAAGACTCAACTAAATTACAAATTCTAAATTATATTAGCTTACATCAAGCTGTTTTCTGTGCTTACCGCTCTGTTTTTCTTGAATGCTTTTACTCCCTCCAATATCGTGCTGCTTGCACAAATACTCTCGTCCCACCGTTCTCGACCATCATTGCAGCAAGCAGATTACCAACTTTTGTGGTACGAGAAAGTTTAGCTTCTGATCGCCTTTTCGATCTCAAGATTAACATTCGTGGACTCTCGAACCACTTCATTTGGGCAGTGTGTAATCTTTTCCTTAGGCAAATTTTTGAAAAGCAGATTTGAAGTTGCTTATATCTTCTCGAAGTTGCTTGAATAATAGCATAAGTTGCGAATAAAAGTGCACATATTCTGACACAATAATGACACCCTGCGCCGCTATCGGAGATCAGAAGCAGCAATTCAATGTGTCTCTTGTGGGTCTCTTTATATCGTCCGTGTGCCTGAAATTGCTTCTTGTACCATCTTACAGAAGCACTGACTTTGAAGTGCATCGAAACTGGATGAGTCTTACGCACAAGTTGCCACGTCATATGTGGTACCATGAAAGCACAAGTGAATGGACTTTGGACTATCCACCCTTCTTCGCCTACTTTGAATACGCGCTAAGCTATGCGGCATCAATTGTTGATGATTCCATGTTGGTGCTTAGCTCTACGCCTGTGTTTTCGCCCTCAATTCTGCTCTTTCAACGACTCAGCGTCATCATATCGGATGTTGTGTTGTTCTATGCATTAAACGCCTATTGCTCATCCTTGCCTACTCTAACCACCTCAGAGTGGGCATTTTCAAAGCGGCTAGCGATTATGCTCATTACTGTATTCGACGCCGGATTGCTATACGTGGACCATATTCACTTTCAGTATAATGGGATGCTACTTGGTCTGCTGATCTTATCAACTACCAAATTAAGACTGCATCAGGATCTCCAGGGAGCCTTTCTGTACGCTGTTTTACTCATGTTCAAGCACATTTATTTGTATGCAGCGCCTCTCTATTTCATCTACTTACTGGGGCACTATTGCTACGTAAGAAGACTTGAACCCGCGGCATCTCATAGCGATGATCATATCAGGAATAAGAATAAATTGCTTGAGACAAGGTCAAGCTCCAGGATACGGGATTTACGTGAGAGCAATGCCAACTTTTCAATCTGGAATTTTTTAAAGCTCGGAGTCCTAGTTTTTCTAGTGTTCGCCGTTGCGTTTGGAAGTATTTTGTGGAACCATGAAGACAAGATCGCCGGAATGAAGCAGATTTTGTCACGACTTTTTCCAGTGCAACGGGGGTTGTGTCATGCGTATTGGGCGCCAAATGTATGGGCGCTATATGCGATGCTAGACAAAGTGCTGGTTATTCTCGGATGTCCTGCTTCTACTGAAGGCATTGCACTCATGAGTGGGGGACTTGTACAGGAAGCAAGCTTCGCGGTGCTGCCTGCAATATCTCCGCTAGTGTGTGCTGTGCTGACATTTGCATTGATGACTCCAGTGCTAAGGAGCATTTGGAGATACCCGGACTCGTCGTTATTTACGAGTGCACTTGCTTATTGTATGCTGTGTTCGTTCCTACTTGGTTATCACGTGCACGAAAAGGCTATTCTTCAAGTGACTTTGCCTCTTGCTCTCATGGCTACCGAAAATGTTGCCAACATGCGCTTGTATAGGTTTGCCTCTGGGGTTGCAACTATTTCGCTCTTTCCACTATTATTCACTCCAGCAGAACAAGTGTCTAAGGTTCTACTGGGTGCTTGTCATGCTTTATTGGCTAAGGTCGTTCTTGTACCGTCTCTCAAGCTTTCACTTAAGGAACTCCAAATCAAGAACACTATTGTAAGGATGTCTCAATTTGAGCGACTTTTCTTGACCGGACTAGCTGGTATAACTTTGTTAGCAGGTTTGTTTCCGTACATCCCACGCTTCGGTGTTCGATACCCGTTTCTTCCTCTGATGATGATTTCAGTGGGATGTGCCATTGGTAATCTTTACGTGTGGGGCTTTGCCTTAACGCAACACTTTCGTAAAGTTGACGCAGTGCTTGATCGCAGAAGCTCAGATAAGCAATAGCTTAGTGGCTAAGTAAAAAAATATATTTTTCTCACATTCGATTATCATGCCTAGCCTAATAAAGCTGAGTACACCACGCTCTACGACAACTTGCCTAGCTGCTGTTTCTTCGAAATTGAATTCATTGCATGAAAAACGCCAGAGTCTACAAGACCGAGAATAGTGAATACACCACCAATCACTGCACAAAGGTGAGTGATGAAGTGGTAGAACGGAACATTGTCCGACGAAATCTGCACCACCAATGGCGAAATATCAAATCTAAAAAACGCAGAAGGCGTTTTGTCCTGGTATTGCGTTGTAGTAGCCGAAAATTCGTACGATCGCTGCTGCAAGTGCGTCCTTCGGCTGTTGTCATGGTTATCGAATCCAACAACCTAAACCAAGCAAACTATTTAATTTGGTAAACCTTTATACTTAAACAAACAAATCCACTTACGTTGAGAAAATGTTCGATGGTGACGTTATCAGATTCGATGTAAAAAGTCTTGTTATCCAAAGGATAACGATTCGACGGAGCCGCGACCTTATTGCTGCCACCGATTAGCAGATTCTCTGTTTGCCGCACTTGGCCGAAGGAGAAATGATTAACCACGTGCGAAACATCCATTGCCTGCGCGTTAAACGATACATCGTTGGACCGCGCTGTAAACGCAACTACTCCAGGAACACGGTTGACACTAATACTCCCCGAAATTTCACACCCCTCCATCGCTCCAGTCGGTATCGAAGTGGGTGGACGGCGCTTTTTAAAGTCAATACTGTCTAAATTCTTTCCATCCACCTTAACCGGCAATGGAAGCCCGAGACGGTCGTCATTAACGTTCACTTCTTCAGCAAAATCGGCATTTGGCTCTAAACGACGGAAGAATAAATCCAAAAACTGTAGTAGGTGTTCGGTCTTGCGAGGTCCGTTGTACATATAACGCGTGGACGTGCTTCCGTACATATAAATCAACATAGTCGGAAATCCACGGACATGTGATCGACGACAAAGCCAAACAGCATCCGGGTCTTCACAATTTACTGAGGCCATGCGCACCATCTCACTATACTCTGGGTGATCAGGCAGCTGAGCCGCCGCGCGTTCCCATTCGGGATTAAGCTGATGACAGAATGGACACCATGGAGCGTAAAAATTGACTAGTACGAGCTCGTACTTGGCCATAAAGTCGTCAAAATTTTTAGCGGTTAGCGGTGTCGAGTAGTGGACCTTGGCGCCTTGAGTGTCTCGATGCACACCTCCCCAGACAGGAATACCCTTTTTGTGGTTGTCAATGATAATCTCATTAAGTCGCTGTATTTTATTGGTTGAGGTATCGGCCGCAAGCTGAAAATGGCGAATATGGCGTGTAAGGTTCGTGAAGCGCTGGCCCATATGGTCCTCGAGGTCCACGCTTGCCACAGCGCATGGTACGTTAAGTAAACTCACATTAAAATTGACGCGCAGTCGGTCTTCCTGGTGCTCATCCATCACAACGGTGGTCTTTACACTTTGATATTGATATGCATTCCAATGATTAAGCAGCAGGAGACCCATAGCAGCAAAAGATAGTAGCGAGAAAAAGCTGCCCGAGTACGTGTGCACCTTCAGATCTTCGGGCACATGTCTGGTACCAGAAGAAATAGTAAGATGCAGCAGGTGTATAAGACTTGTATCTACATAGAAGGAAGAGAAGACGCACCTGAAGAAGTCAAGCTTCGGCATTTTAGTGCCACGTAATCTAAAACAATGCCAACTTTAAAGGTAAAAAGCAATGGGATTATAAATACACAATTAGCTAACTGATTCCTATTGCTAATCCTCTTTTAAGATAGTGCACAACTTCCACGTAGGACAGCCTATATCAATGAGAACATGCAATCGACACTCAAATATTCTGAACTTTTATTAAACATACATTAAATGTGCATGATGCTGGCAGCCACAGATTAATGTATTGACTTCCAGCATGGTTTACGGCTTGGAATCTCAACAGCTCAATTCAATAGCTCCTCGTTTATTATTCGTCAGAGTACATGTCCTTGCATTTTTCTTGCGTAAGCTGCGGATTCAGACAAACCGCAACATCAAACAAGCACAAGTTCGCGTGAAGCTGTCCGTTTGAATCACAAACTGGCACATACTCGCGAGTGCATTGTATAGTGCAATCTCTCTCGGCATCATCCTGAAACTGTCTAAGTCCAGACAATGCACCGGCAAGCTGGAGTAGCGTAGCCATTAGAATAACCACTAATGTGTTGACGATCATTTTCTGACGCTTGCTTGTATTCCGTGGGCGGCTAAATTGGATATGAAATTTGACCAGCCTGATGTGATGGACTTTTTTAGGCGTATTTTTTCTTGAGGATGGTGTTCTTATGTGTATGAAATATGTACTGTATCTGCTATAAATAACTTTTTCCAAACTTGCCGTCTGGTCCGATCAGAACGCAACTTGGAGTAGCGGTAGGACAAATCAGTCTTATATATAATTTGTAGGACCTCTGGCAATTGGCACAGTAGGCCGGGCACAGCTGCAATAAATTGAATCGCACAGCATAATATTTGTTTTGGGATATTCTGATTGACAAGTACAAGTTTAGCGGCTAACTCCAAGACTAATTATTCTTCCGTTTAGAATTCCTAAATATGTATAGTAAATCCAAATACATGTTCGGTACTTCCAACGGCAGTTACTCAGGGAGGACAAAATGGAAGGTTTTCTATTACCAGGGCTAAAGACGTTTCCGGTGCTTGATGACTTTGTTGAACGCTTTCCAGGTATCACAAATGTGCGCGATCCTGCATAAAATTAAACTTTTTCAAAATGATATGCAATTTTGGGCGGGTATAGATTTTGAAAGGTTATTGGGGAAGCTGTTCAGCCACGTGTCATTTCCCAATTTTCCGACGCCTGCACAAGCGACCCCGGCACCTCACCACGGCCTCAAATCACCCCGCCGCCTCCCAGACCCACTCATCCCAAGCCTCCTTCGCCGCCCGAAGTTGGGTTTTACTTTGCGGACTGTATGTTTCCGGCTGCACCCGAAAGGGGGACGGGGGGCTGAGCCCTGAGTAAAGCTAGACTGATGGTCCGGTTAAGGGCAGTGAGGGATAAGTGATGGCGTCTGGTGGAGGCGGAGCGACGCACCCAAACAGGACTAGCACAACCGTCTAGCCGCCTTGATAAGGTGTTTAGCCGCGGCGAGAACACGGACTGCGACAAGAACGGCTCCAAGCTTCTCAGGTATGTCCAATTTGACGATTTGCAAGCAATGGATCGAATGATTCAAGAAGAGCAGCAGCCGATATTCTTTATTTCAAGCGTTTCTTTTGCATCCTGTACATGTCCTATAATTCATTTATTGCGCTCGACACCATTGAATAAACATTTTATAAAGGAGTACAAGTGTATCAAAGAAATACAAATGCTGCCTTTAAAACACCGTTACAGCGGACGTTTCAGGGGCGTGTTAATTAGCTCGTCTTGAAGTACAACGAGTTATGGTGCATCAAGGTCGGATAATTTCGACACAATGGTAGGTGTATGTTAAATCTGTAGCTGTACATTTATTCTCTTTAGCTGATCCACAAACACTTTGGTGAGGAAAATTTATGAAGATGATGGGACTCCGTAAAGTAGAGCAGAGTGGTATAAGCAGACTGTCAGCCTCACGTCACGAAAAAAAATTGTTCAATATATATTCAATATAGTCAGACAAAAATTGTATTAGGCTACAAAGACTCTTTATGAATTATAGGTCACTTAAAAATTGAAGCTCGAACTAGACAAATAATTTTAGAGGGGTCACGGGGTGGATCTTACGAGCCGAGAACCTTCGTTTTATATGGGAGCTCGTCGAGTCAAATATCCCCCTGTGTCAGATGCACGGCGATCCTGTTGTAGTACTTGTAGTCAACCCGATTACCTTTTGAGCAGAATGTATCATCTAAAAGATCGAATGCGGGTAGTTTTTGCTCGTCTACCCCCCTGGACAATCGGGGACGCTTATTAAGATTACGTCTATCGTTAGCCCCGCCTCTGAATATTAACAAGCTTGAATGCGCGGCGCCGGGACACCTCCAAGTACGCCCCAGACGAGCATTAGAAGAAGCACCGATGGTAGCCACCGTAAGTTACTAAAATCAGACATCCGATCCTATGATCGGTCAAAGAATACTCTCCCTTTGGATTAATATAAACTGGATCAACCTTATATTCGCCGATGCTCCAGATGATTGAAAGCACGTACCTCCAGGCAAGACAGGCACACACAATAAAGAGCCTAAACGAGAAATCCTTCTGTAGAAGAGGCATATTTGATGTGAAATAGTTATAGCAACAGTCGTCGCAAGTGTCCGTACCACCAAACCAGGTCTGCCGCGCGCGTTTGGGTTTTCTTTTCACTTGTCACGGTAGGCAAAATTGTTGGACTAAGTCCGGAAGTTATTATAATAATCATCGCCGCGAAGGTGCCAAACTTCTTTCCGAAAGCTGATTATCTACCATTATCATGAGTAGTTTTTGAAAAGATGCAGCGAGAACCAAGACCTTCCAAATATCCCTACCGCTTTCAAGAACGTTGTGGGTGTTGCTATCAATGCATAGAATAGGTTTCCATTCGCAAGAGTCAGTTGCAGTGCAGATGATGGAAGCTATGCTAGTGTGCCAATGATGATGAATACCAATTATACAAAGGAGGGCGAAGAGATATATGTCTTGGCTGTTGAGCAGCTCGAAGGTAGTGGCAGGTGCTGCTTTTGTGGATGTCATCAACGTCTGCGCCTTGCGTGCCCTTTTGATCTCGAATGAGATGTACAAGGCCTGGGATTCGACGTAGGTCGTCTGACAAACCTTCTCGGCTAACGTTCCGTTCCATTACGCCACCCTGTGCTTACTGGTAAAAAATGACGTTTATTGTTCCTCGTGGAGGTCGAGAACCAGCTCTGAACGGGGCAAATATCTATAGGAGATGTTAAACTCACTATTTTTGGTCGTTCACATCACCTTTCCAGAATTGTATGACTATAGAAATTTCTTTTTACGATGTAACAATACTACCTAGCCAGCATTATGTCTGACGCAACCATCGTGTGGGGAAGTAAAGCTTCACGAAATTGTCGCGATAAATATTATATTTCTCCAGATAGATTGACCCTGGTAGCTCTTAATGATATTCTTTTCCTGCTAACGTCGTGCTCATCAGCCTAGAAGAACAGTCCCTGAGCAAATATATAAAGAATAGAAATGAAGCCCCTTAGGTATAACGGTGGATACCGGGGATGAGCTATGTTTATCATTTGTGTCATTTAAAACACTAATAGATCACTGAGTACAAGGAGTGGGGCAATCATTTTTAAGATCCTGCGGATTCTTTATCACCGCTTGATGGAAATATTCCCACTGCGGGTGTTGTCCTCGGATCGGGGGGTCACAGCATGAGATTGACTTGGTTTCCGAAGCCAGATTTCCGTTACACCTGACAATATACCTTGCCAGGAAATGTGTGTCATTATATCTTGTATCTTTAGTTTGAAGTATTAAGCAAATGCGGTGATAGTGAGCAGATCTCCCTTTTTAGCGTCGACGTTCTGTGGCTTAAATAACTGGTAAAACGTGTATTCTTATAATGATCTAAATGCAGCCACGATGTCGACTTAAGCACCTATTTCTGGCTCAGATTGCTACAGAACAGCTTGTCGGTTGCACTTTATTCAATATCATTGGCCTGTTTGATGAGTGTTATCAACGAAACAGCGATAATTCTGTCGCTGCGGTAACTTTTCAAGTGAAATGATTATAGAGCGGTTAGATATGCCTCATGGACTAGCACCATTAATTATCTTATGACGCAGGTGTCCAGATCATATTGCACCTAAGTATTAACATGAGTCAAAATATGTATTTGGCCGATGACGTGCTGAGCTCGGGGATGCAAATAACCGCTTCAATAAATTGGTTGCCAATATAGAAAAGTGTGTAATTGGCGCCGACGAGATCCTCTTTCTACGTTGCTTTATCGCGACGCATATCTTGTATGAAGCTCTCAAATAATAAAGGCATTCTTCGATTGACTAGTGCCTTTGTCGCAACGGGCTTTAAAATAGTGACTTGACCTGGTCAGCCACTTGCGCAAAGACATTACACGCCTCCGGACTAGTCTGCAATAAATAATGTCTTATATTGTTTAGTGTAGCTGAAGGGGCGACTTAAATACCGCTAAGGAATTCACAGTAAAGTTCTTTTTGGCTCTGACCAGTCTGAATAGCCCATTTCGCGTAATTTGTGATACTTTACAGACTGATCCTTAATCCAAGTAGATGATTATGGATATCACTGCGTCAATGCAATTTCTTTGATAGCTTAGGGCGGCAGCGACGAAATAGCCAAACAAAGATTTACTTGTAATGAAGTATGCCCTCATCAAATTTTGGTGCGTCTTCTTGGATCCATGATGTTTGTGATCTATACAGTTCATGCGTTGTTACATAACGATCGTCGTCACCACATCTTCAAAGAAAATAGCAAGATGAATTTCCGTTTCTACCAGTAACCATTGAGGTTAGGGGTTCATCGGGCCGAGTGGATGTGGACATTGATGCACCTTTCCGTTATCCCAACTCTGAAATGATGTACGTCACAATGGCGACGTCGGGAATTGATGGGATGATGCATTTAGTGTACAGCTCAAATGCAAATCGGTTTGCGTAGCTAGAAGGCTTATAAAAAGAGAATTGAGACAAGATGCCGCTTTATTAAAACGCTGGAATCAATTTCTGTTCAGCCCACTTTAGCGACAAATCTTAGTACAGCACTATCCCCATTGAGAATTCGCATGTGACGCTACGTCATGATGAGGACCTCAAGTATGAGGCGTATGATAGCTCTATAGATGGCCGTCTCAGAAGATAAACAGCATACTGCTAAGCGACTCTATGTATTAATACTCCAACATCATCAGTGGGAGCGCGTTTGTGCGAGCTTTTAAGAAGTTGTATTCTCGCTCCGTGCGTCGAGAACTTTAAAAAGCCTGCATGTTTTTTACAGAATGATGGCGTTCCGTAAATTTGGGGCTCCCTTCGATATTCCAAAATGCGCGCAGAATAGTCGGATCTAATCCGTTGCCGATTGTCTAAGAAAGATGGCTCATCTTAATGCTGCCAGGGTACAGTTTCTGGCGAGGGTACAGCAGAGCTGTTCTATGCCACGGTTTTTTTGCTAGCATCACTAGATGATCTTCATGATTTTAGATGGAGATCTGGTAGCAAAGTTTGGCAAATTGTGTAAAAGCTGTGAGGGATTATATTAAACATGTCAGCCGCTTACCACCCGCGATAGATGGTCAGGGTAAACATGCCTATCGCGTTCTAGAAGAGATCCTCCAATTATTTGAGCAAAGGGACCGCGGTTTTTTTGTATAGGTGCCCGATTCATTTTGAATAATGCAGTGCATGTTCTTACATGCTTCAATCTTTCAATTTTTACTAGACTGTCGATATATTCGAAGAGTCGACGTCGGGCCGGACTCACTCCGAAGCTAAATATGTGCTCTTACTCAATAATATTGAGCGCCTTGCGCCAAATGCGTGATATGCAGTGAAGAATTAGGTGAATGAAGCGCTCTTAGCCTTTCTGTCTGCAACTTTAAGACTAAGAAGCAACCATGCTACATCGGATGGTCTAAACCACAGCAAAATGAAATTGGTTCATAGCCTTACAATGTCGAATAGATTGCAAACACATCCTTTGATAACATGGGCTTGCCGAAACCACATTTCGATTCCGCCCTTACGAATCAGCTGGACGTGGACCCGGTCTTTCGGGAACGGATCAATGCTACTTTCAATCCTGTCGTCAGGACACATTGCAATAGAGCTCAACATGCTCTGAGCGGCTAATGGTTCCGCGAGCCACACAGCTCGAAGGCGTAGCTCATAAAGCACGACCAAAATCTTTTCTAGCCAAACGCTGCTGTTCCGAGAGTAGAGATGCCATCACGATCATGAGAGCTCACAATTCTCAGCCGCGACAGGGTCTTTCTCTGCCGGTAATGCTCGATGAACACGGAGTGGTCCGCTTTACGTGCAATGGTTGGTAGGTCGGCGAGTGTATCGTTGCTGCTCCCAGAAGCTGGTGAAGTAGAAAGACTACCCTCTGTTGGAGTTGACCCGATTAAATGAACAGTCGGCTTCAAACAGTGGTTACGAAACTACTTCCATAGGATAACATACATACAGTCACTTGCATATTTGTTCTCGTTCTAGCAGGTCCCTC